ATATAAGCTACTAATATTTCAGTAATCATACAGGTGTGTAAAATATTTGTTTATTGCAAGGAAAACAATGATCAAAGAGTATAGAAAAATGTTAATTGCTTAAAGTAATAAATTTAATCTTTTGCGCCTTGTTGATAACTTATTTACAATTTCGTCGGAACTTTCTCGATGAAACTTTCTCGATGAAACTTTCGTTTCTTTCGCTCAATGAAACATGCAAAGCCAGGGATTCTTCAGCTTTTGTAAGGTGCAAACGAAATTTTTTTTCCACATATTTCTTAAAAAATTATTTTTCAAGGCAAGACGTATATAATAAGAAGTTCTATGCGATATTTGGAAATATGGATATTAAAAAAAACTCAAGTTAAGGGGGGGGGTCCGGACCCCATGGACACCCCCCTTATATACGCCCGTGCTTGCAATGCAAAATATGATTGTTTTCTTAAACTCTTATTCAAGCAAGGAAAAAAAAAACATTTATACAACTACTAACCACTCCAAAAACCAGAGTAAATGCTTTATAATAAAACTGATACGTCAAGAATTTGGAATTATGAAGAACTTGCCTGTATATTTTGATTCAATAAACTGGTCTATTTTCTGCTTCCCTTCTTACAATTTTTTCCTAAAGTGAAAAATGACTTGTTACTTCTTCTGACTCTTCTACATTACTGTTTGAAAATTTGACGGGTCATCAGGATGTCTTTTGTCAACATCTGAATAAAATTCGAGCAAATAGTATTGTAATTGTAATGGAGAAAATATCAAAATGATGAAAGGAACATGAACTTTTTATACAGTGTTAAAATTCAAAAACTTAAGTACTAGGGTTCCTATGATTTTACTAATAACTTATTCTAGTATGTCATATTGAAATATCTGATATATGTATACTGAAATATCTGATATATGTATATTGAAATATCTGATATATGTATATTGAAATATTTGATATATCTGGAGAAAAATTTTTTCTAACCAAATATTCTTTGAATCAGGAAAAGACAAAAAAAAAAAACTGTTGATTTTTTTAAAATATACTTGGCATTTGATCACAAACGCCTTCAAACTTTGTTCTCGATAAAAATAATTTCAAATTATTTTAATCCTTCATCTCTTATTAACCTCGTTATATCATGTTTTTGATCGAAGTTCGGCAGCGTGCTTGCTTTTTCTCTCCTAAATATTAATTTGATTTTGATCCCTACACACGTTTTTTATTTCATTTCTTATAATGATTCGTAAAATATATATTAACGGCCTGGATTAGAGAACTACAGAATTATCTTCTTCAAAAATGGCAATTATTTAATTTAAATTTGATCCTTTTGTGTGTGTGATCTCACTCAGTGTCAACCATATTCATAGAGTAATAAACTTATACTTAACTTATATAAAACTTATTTATAACTCTATGACCATATCGGTGTCACGTATCAATGACATCCGATAAAAATCTAACTCTCAATGCATTATTAACTGAGGTGAAGGGATTAATTGAATGCTAAATAAAATAAGAGCCTTCTTTGATGATATTTTTTTTTAATTAGTGGTGAAATTCTCTAATAATTATGTTTAAAAAAATCGTTGCAAGAAAGGTTTGCAAGGATATTTTTTTTTCCAGACGCATGCGAGTTAATTCAAATCAAATAAATGCACTATATTTACTCTCTTTTTCTTTCTACAGGATTCCAACAAATTAAAGAGTAGATATATTTATCAAGGTATTCTGTAACAAAGTAATAACATAGTACAAAGGTACATATGTTTGTATTGATTTCTGTGAATATATATTTTTTTCTTCTGTATTTGCTTTCAGAATTTTAGCTGTATAATATTTAATAACCGAATTCTGCTGCGATAGTAATTTTTCTTAGAAAATTATTTTGTAAATGATTGATTCTTCATGAAGCACATTAAGAAGAGATTTGAAAAAAATAAATAATAAATATCATGCGTAAATGCTTTGGGGTTTTTTCCTTCCTTCTTTTTTCAAGAATGTGTTACGTTTTTTTTAATTTTTTTTATATGTATATATATATCACTCATCGCAACTCATTTAATTTAATTACATATAATTTAAAAACATATCTCAGTTTTTACATAAGCACGTGAAAATTTAATATTTCATGAACACCAGTTATTTGTTCTTCTAAGAATATAGTGTTTGTTTTGCTTGCTAATTTCAGATCCCCATTTGTAGAGCACCCTGTTGACATGAATGAAATATTGTAAAACTTATATAGAATATAACTGTATTCTATATAGTGATTAACTCTTCTTAACCTGAATTATTTTCTAGTTAGCTAACTCTAGCAGAGATGACTATGTGTCATTTTTTTTAGAATTAAACCTTTTTCAATTATAATGATTTTTTATATGGGCATTAAATGAAATAAATATGGATGTGGAGATATTCCTAGGATGTGGAGATATTCTAACTAAGTCTAATATTCTAACTAGTACTTATAAATAAATTCATTGCAATGAAACTCTACATAAAAGGCATTGTATGCTATTTTGAGATATTGTTAAAATCTTTACCTGTATTTTTTACCTGAAAATCATCACGAAAGCTGGCATTTTTTTTCAACCTTAAGACACATTGGGGAATAAAATGAAACAAAACATTCTAAAATACTATTCGATGGCTCTGTTATATTGTAATAACAGAGCTAATCGTAAGGGTAGTAACAGAACAGGGGAAAACAGAATCATTTCTCTAGATCTCCATGATTCCATACAAAGATCAGGGTCAATCAGGAAGATTTTAAATCAGAGTTGTTCAATAATTATCAAAGCAAACTCGGAAAAAAATACCAAGTAGGTTTTTTTGTAGCATTTTATTATAACATATATAGTATATATATATACACTTAATAGAATACAAATCAAACATAATTAAATATAAAATTAAATGTAAATTATATATAAAATAATTTGTGGTTAATTGTTAGTAAGCATTTGTATATCATATAAAAGTATTGATACTATATCAGTTAATTGGTAATGTTCATGAAAAATCATGGTAATTGTTAAGTTTTTAACACTTTAATTACAGCCTGGCGTAAATTTGATAAATAATAAAGCAAGCAGATTCCTCTAATTAGAAGATAATTAATTAGAAGATAACGATGACAGTACAAGGAATAGTACAGCTTACAAAAAAGCCACTTAAGTTAGAAAATTCCACTCGTGAAAAGATTCCTGAAAGTTGTAATAATCTGTAACAAAAAATTTAAAGTATTATTTCTATAAAGATAACCCTGAATCAATTTTCTTAACTAAATCAAATTAATATAGGGTTAATATAAAAAATACTGCTATATAATATATTAACTCTGTAAATAACCCAAGTATTATTAAATATATCTTTAAAACAAATTAAACTGTATACTAATTCAATATTTCCACTTCCTTCATAATGTTGATTTGGAGAACCCAGAATTTCCTGAAGAATCAAAACTGGATTTTCAACAAGCACTGACCTGGCTATCCTGATAATTCTCAGGTCAGAGTAGTTGAAAATTCAGTGGATGAAAGAGCCTTCTTTTTACATTTAAGGATGCATCACATTAACTGATGACCATAACAACCTGGAACATAACTATAAGCATTGCAACTGGATATACAAAACATGAAGAACAATTTGTGCTCTTTCAATTATTGAAATTAATGAACTCTTAATATTATTCTAAATTGTAATACTAGTTTAAAAATATTATTTACAGTAATAATGTTATCATAGCAGCAAACAAATAATAAAATATGTAAACAGAAAACTTTAACATGTGTAAGCTAATTTTTAAAACTAGTAATATAATAAAATGTAAAACAATTTTTTATGCCATTTGAACATATCCATGCAAAGAAAATTGATAACTTACTAATGGTAACTTTAAATTTAGGGTGTAATACATAAATTTAACCTTCAAAAGAGAGGAAAAAAATTGATTTCTTTCCAACCTTGTATTATTAAAGTATAACTTATTAGTATAACTTATTTATGTCCTTTCAAATAATATTCAATACACCAAGTAACTAATTTAAATATGCATATTTCCATACTATTATAACTATATCCAATATAATAATTAGGAGCACAGAAAATATAATGTAATGAAAAGATACCTAATTATAATGCAAGAGATCAAAATATGTACAAATAAAAAATATGTGGGAAGTACATACCAATTTTAGATTTACACACTGAGGCAGCAATAATAAATGACTAGCAAGTGAAATTGTCACACTAGCATAGGGGTGCACAACCTGCGAGCCGCGGGCCAAATGCGGCCCTTCGACTACTGAAGTGCGGCCCGCGAGAACTTCTAAATACAATAAAAAAATTTCAAATAATGTGAATTTTTAATCGCACTTTAAAGTCATCACGTTTTGACACATTCAATTTTAACAGATTCTATAGTAAATGTACATTTAACGCGTTTTCTTTAAGCTGGTTTTATCGTAAATATAAATGATTTTTTTAAACAGTTATTTCCGCTTTTCTATGTGATTTCGAAAATCCCGAATTTTTATTACGACGCGAGTTCCAGATCGCAAATTTAAATAATCACCTTTTGTGCACTTTATTTGTGACGATTTCATCTTAAATCTAAGTGATTTTTTAACTAAGTCACATTTTATTCATCATTTTGATATTAATTGTAAGAATAAATATTGAAACGTTCTTTTTAAAAGCCAGTCCTTTTAATTGAGTGTTTTTCTATATTAAGTGGCTAAAAAAGGCATAGTTTTCATGTTTGAATTCTCTGGCTATAGTAGGGCAAGAACTCATTTTTTATGAATTGTATAAATTTTCCAAAAAAATATTCATTTGCTACTGGGAAGTGCATACAAATAAGTTAGATTTCTCTGAACGTTGACATATTTCATCACAAAAAATCATTTAATTAGAATTATTATCCAGAATTAACGATTTATCTCAAAGAGAAACTAAGTACAAGAAGTTCTGTTATGACTGTATCCAGGGACGTAGGTAAGGGATGGGTTTAGGGGGTCCAAACACCCCCATTGTGAGCGCCAAATTTTAATATTTTCTCAAACTACTCATTAAAAAGAAATAGTATAATTTTTTTTCTGCTTTTATTTGGTAAAAAATAACACTCAAAAAGTCATTTTATGACATCAATATAAACCTCTTCCTTGTTCAAAAATATAAACTATTTATTCTTCCCTCTCAAGGAAGCGACACTCTGGACGATACCCTGTGGTATACCTATAGAATTAGTTGATTCCTTTTGAAGATGAATCTCACTTCTTAACAGGGAAGCGCATACTTAACATTGATATATTTTTTATTGATTTCTCTGAACATTGACATATTTCATCACAAAAAATCATTTAATTAAAATTATTATCCAGAATTAACGAGTTTTCTCAAAAGAGAAACTAAGTACAAGAAGTTCTATTATGACTGTATGTATCTCTCATACAATTTAAACAAGGATGTCTCGTGATCTATAAAACTTGAATAATCTGGAAAAATGTTATTTTTAAATTTCTGAAAATTTAATTTCCTGAAAGGAGAAGATGGAATTTTTAATTATCTAGAGGAAAAGTGTTTATCTCTCTACAGTTATCTTTGTCCATTCTAATCGTAATCAAATTTTTTTTCTTTCTTTGGTTAATTTAGCATATAATAAGATAAATGTTTTTAGTGAAATTGGCTTATTTTCATATTCAGTTAAAAAAAAAGAGAGCATTTCTGTATTTTATGTTATTGAATGTACAATACGTAAAATAAAAAGTGACCATTAAAAAAGACCACTTGATAACTATTGATCTAAGGATCGGATCTTCACGTTCAAAGGAGTGGCCTGAAGCATGCTAATTAAATAGTGCTGACGATATTTTAAGTCAAGAAATCAGATTCAAAAAGGTACTTTCATAAGCATGAATTTTTTTTCTACAGATTGTGATTTGTGACCCTATAATGGGGGGGGGGGTAAATAATTTATACCTTACAATTCATAAGTTTTTCGACTATTATTGAATAAAATAATGAAAGAAAAAAAATTTTATTAAAAGTTACATTTTGCATGGAATTTTTGGATAAACGAATTTTATGATTGTGTGCGCAAATTTTACAGTTAGCTTAAAAAGTTCTCGAGATTTGGCGAAATACGCAAAAAGTAAAATTAACAGTAAAATATTTTCTCAAACTGAAACACTCAGATCATTGATTATACTTCACAAATATTTAATCAATAATCCTTATAAATGTAGTAATAGATAAAATTTCTTTACAAGAAATACTTTCTCAAACCAAAACTTCCAGATTATAATACTTTACAAAGATTTAAATTTATTCACTCAAATATATTAAATATAATCAATAGCCCTTTTAACAATACTAATAAATAAAATAAAAATGCGAAAAGTAAAATCAGCATTAGGGTTCAAAAATTTGGACAGCTCTCCTGATCAAACCATATTTCCCAGTTTTCGGCTGCCCCTTTTATTAGGGGGACCGGAAAGTAATGCACATTAAATATTCGTTAGTCTTAAAAACCAATTAATTTTCCTCGATTCATTTTCGATCCGGCATTGAAAGGTTGTTGCTAACGAGGGTGAATACATTATTGATTAAAAATAAAATCTTGATAACAAATATCAAATGCACCGAAACGACATTACTTTCCGGCCCCCCTAATACTTTGGGAGTCAAAAAATCCGAATCCGTCGAAAAGAAGGTATGCTTATTCAGAGAACGTATGGTTTTGTGTCTGAATTCGTAAGTTAAAGTATCGCCAGCACTAATTAATTAACATATTTGAAGTCACCTTTTCGAACTATTAAGATTGAGTTTTAGAATATGAAGATCCGATCATTAGATCAAAAGTTATTCAGGAGGGTTCGTTTCCTTTTTTTTCTTTTTCGCGCACTGTGTATAATAAAAATAAGAACATAATTAATAAAACATCGCTATTTAAATACTTGTAAAAATAAAATAGTCAAATATTTAGCTTTATAATGTTCTTAATTTATTTTATGAAAGATACGTTAAAGCTAATTATAATTATTTAAATGCAAATAAATTTATATTTCAAATTTATATTTTAAATTTATATTTTAAATTTATAGTTTAAATTTTCTTTTTTAGTATTAGTGGACACAAAAAAAAGATTGATCTGGGTTGAGCAAGCATTCTTAAAGTTTGGTTTAAATTTTTGTTTCTGGTTTTATACCGTTTAATATTCTACTAGCCTTCTTTTTAGGAAATACTGTGCTGAAAGTAATTTTGTGAAATTTTTGCATAAAAGTCTAGAAAGTCAGAGAAATTTAACCAGAGAATAGCCTGATACCATTTCTTGACAAATTACAACATTTATTTTCATAAACAAGACGTTTGGAATGTCCAAAATATTTTATAATTTTGCCTTCTTAACAGCTTATCTATGAGGCATCATAACAGACAATTTTGGTGTAATTAAATTTTCTATTCTTCATTCTAAAGTTAATCTTAAGTAAAAAAAATATTTCAATTTTTTTTTATTTTTTAAAATACATTTGTAAGATGCAAACGATACAAAAACGCATTTTTTCCAAATGAATATAATTTTTTTATTGTCTTTTTGACCCCAGTCAAGATCTATAAATACTATATGATGGGAAATAAGATCAGGGTGAATAAGTTACGATAGAGATCGTGTACCTTTATGGTTTTTGCTTTTTTCGCCTTTAGTTGGAAATTAGTTGCTCGAATAAAAAAAGGTTAAAAAAACAAACAAAATTCTTCGGTTTTCTGTAAAACTCATTTTCTAGAATATCTCATACAAAAATTATTTTTTTTAAATAATTATTTTTTTTGTTAATGATGAAACGCGAGCTTTAAGGCACATGCAAATTTTTATATTTATTTAAACTAAGTCTAATCTTTAACGACAAAATTTGAATTACATTGGTCAACAAGTTATTTCAATGCTAAAATAAATTTAAAAAAAAAATGATTTTCTGGGATTATTTTACCCGTTTTGTTCCAGTTTAAATTTATGATCATTACTTAATTTAATAATAAAAAATTATGAAAACTTATTACTTTTTGCATGAAATTATAATTTTGGAAAAAAAATTATAAAAAGGTTTAAACATTTTTAGATTCCATTCGTGTCTTTGATTTTAACGATAGCGCAGAAAATAAAAAACGGCATTAAGGGAGCTTTTCTGTCTAAATTATTCGAGACATATTTTTC